GGCAGGAGGTGGCAGGTTCAAACCCAGTCCCGGCCAAAAATTGCAAAAAAAAAAAAAAAAGATACTATGACTTCCCTCTTCTTTGCATAACGTTGTAATAAATAAATAAATGCTTTTCAGAATCCTTGTTTGCAGAATTAACAGTGGAAATCTTGACGGTCACCATTCAGTATTTTTTTCATCACCACTTTAATAATATTCAATTACATTAATAATTTTAATAGCTACCACTTTAATTATTTGCTCTCATAATTTTAAATTATAAAGCAACAGTTTCATTACAAGGCTTTTAATGTTTGGAAATGGTCAAAATGTTTGACAAGTGTTGCTTTACTTGTTTCTGGTTTTGTTTTCCCAGATTCTCCTCCTCCTTGGCGCCACTCTCCAGGTGCAGTTATTGGCTTCTTGGCATCTTTCTTTAATTCAAACAGCTAGTCCTTATCATGGGCTTACTGCACTGTCCTAAACGCATCATTTGAGTTCTGTTTTTAGCTTCAAAATAACAATTACTTGAGGAAATTGGAGCTCAGAGACTTTACACAATTTGGCTAAAAACAAATAGCTAGAAAACAGCAAAGTGATTGTTTACGCTGGGAGTTGCCAAAAACCTTAGATAGGTGAGAATTACCTCTTTTGTTATATGGACAACCAATGCTCTTGGTTCAGGTGCACCAGGGCAGGGCTGTACCCTTTATATGATGTGAGTGTGTATGTGTGTGTGTGTGTGTGCACGTGAGTGTGTGTGTGAGAGAGAGAGAGAGACAGAGAGAAGTGTCTAAATTTGGCTTAGGTGATAGAAGTTGGTGATAGAAGATTACCATTGACTATCTGGAACTCACAGCTGAATCCCTTTAATGCATTAGAGCATTAGAATGTTAAACAAATGGAATCCAATGAAATGGATGCTAATTCATTTATTAGTGTTTCTCATTGATTTTATGAATGAAATCATAAAATCAATCACAGTTGATAGTGCTTTTATGCCCTTTCATGAAAAAGAGGATGGACCCTATTTCAATGTTTTAATTGTTGGGTTAGAAATAGATTTGCTTTTATCAGATCAATATTGCTTTGGCCAAGTTTCAATTAAACTGACAAGGCTCCTACTATTGAATGAAGGAAAGGATTTAATTAGGTTTCATTCTCTCACTTTCATAATGAGGAAGAAAGATGTGCTTTTTTAACTTTTGGAACTACATGTATAACGTAACTCAGAAACCAAAACCATAAGTCTTTAGAAAGACTAAATTTTACGTTAAAGGCAAAAACTGGAAAAAAAAGATATTTTCTGCTTCCAGTTCTTCATATCTCTTAAGAGTATTTACAAGATTTATCTTCATCTTAAAAACTATAATAATGCAGGTGGTTATCTTACTGTTAGAATTAGTTAAAATGTGGTTATCTATGAACAACCTCAGCACTGGGACCAAGGCCTCATTCCATGGCAGTCACCTCTCTCCAGAAGACTGTCTCAACCCTTGTCTGGGCTTCCCGCTATTTTCATCCTTCCTTTCTATTCTTCTACCAATATTATTACCAATTGAGATGGTCTAAGATTCAAGATTTAACCATTACTCCTTACCCCATTTTAAAATTTTGTCTTATTCTCCACTAAGAACACGAGAGTCCAGTTTTCCTTAGTATTAAATATAGAACTTTTTTCACCTGCCTTTGTCCGTACACCTAGATGCTGCAACAAACTAACAGCAATTCCATGAAAACATGGTGTGGTTTTTGTTTTGTTGTTATTTGAGGTTGGCCCTACTTTTCTGTTTCTCTGCTGAAAATATCCCCTCCCATCACCTTGTCTGGCAAAATGCAATCAGTCATCCCGTGGTTCTTAGTGAGAGTATGTCTGCCTTGCTAACATTCATAGATGGTAAAGCGCCTTATAAAATATGGCATAATATTTGCATACAACATATGCACACTCTCTGGTATATTTTCAATTATCTCTAGATTAGTTATAATACCCAATACAATGTGAATGTTTATATATATATATATATAGTTTTACACTGTACTGAGTACAAAACTGTACTATTGTATTGCCATTTATTATTTATTCATTTTTCTGAATATTTCTGATCCACAGCTTATGGCCTCTGAAAATTCAAAGGGCTATATTATTCATTCATCAAGAAATGGCTCAAACACTATTCTTTTCTGAATTTATTATTATACTTTCTGTACTTACATCTTCCACTTATCTTTTGTCCTTACATTTTTCACATTTATATCATGAAACATGGTATGTGATATTGTCACAATCTGTTTATGCATTTGTTTTCATTGCTGAAATTCAAATTCAATAATTCAGCCTTTTATTCAGCTTTCTATAACTCCAGCCCAACTTAGAGCTTAGGGTAGGGTGTCCATGCTCAGTAGCCACGTACAGACTGGATGAGACTTGGTATCATTTCAAACCCTACTTCATTTGATAAAGTAGCAAACTGTAGTCTGAGGGAAGAGCAGAAGGTACCACGTTCTTACTGACACATGATTTTTTCCCAAGATATAAACACTTCAACACAAATGTGAGTTGAGTGGGATGCAGGAAGATAAAAAGTTTCACCTAAATTGCTAATTTTACAACCAAAAATCAAGTAGGATTTATTTTCAATGTTAGAGAAGGAAAGCCCTTCAAGCAGAAAAAACAATGTTTCAGGCTCCATTCTGCTAGCGGCAACCCCTGGGATCATGTGCCCGGCGTTCCCATCACACTGACTTTCTGACTCGCTGCTTTTCCTGGTCTTATTGTCCTTCAGCGACATTATGTACTAAGGTGAGTAATTAGAGTACCAAATAATAGGGCCACAGTTCCAATTTAACTTTCAATATTATCATCCTGTTGCCAGTAGCAAATGCAGTGATAACAAGACAAATCTATAATCCTCCTTGCTAAAGACCTATTAAAATGAAATGTTTCAACAAAACCGTATTTGGACTCAGTTCTACAAGGTGGACTGTCATTTTCTGGTTTTTACAAAGCTACATGGAAGAAAAAATCCCTTCTTCAATGTTACCCTTGCTCCCAAACTTTCTCTGTACGCCTTGCTCTCCTAGATCCCTTTCAAATTACTCATTTTATTTTGTTTTCAATTTGTTTGGCGGGCAAAGACAGGACACTGTACCATTCCACTGGGCACACTTCAGTGTTTACCTTTATTAAATTACACTCACTAATCCATAGAGCTGGGATATTTGGTTTCCTTTACCTATTGTAGTAGCTAACATCACCAATCAGTGCACTAAAAGTGTCTAAAAATTTCACTATTGTCAAGCTTTATAAAAACATAAAATTAACTGATACATTTTAAAACTGTTACTATTACCTACTCTGTCATATTAAAATTTAACATGAAAGATTAAGATAAATTAGTATGTGTTTTCTTTGAAGAGAAAGAAGAAAGATAGGTTTAATTTTATTGGGGAAATTGTTCTTGGGCAATATATTAATACTTATCCACAAAAAAATTATTTATGAATTTATGAGGTTGCTGTGAGACTTTTAGTGGTGAGAGAAGATTTCTAACATCCAGAATTAGGCAGACATTTCTTGAAAAGTTTCAAACTATTGACCACATTCTAAAGGGAGATTTCCCCAAACTATGTAGCATCATTGAATAAAATCTATCATCTTCAAGTTATATCTCTGTGACAAGCGTATCTTCTTTGTCTATGCTTTTGATTTTAGAATTTCCTCTATTTCAGGGGCCCAGTAAATTCCTACTATCAGTCCCAGAATTATCCATGTGATGGTCATCAGACTTGTCTGATTCTGTACTTCCATAAAACTTTAGGTTCATACATGATGGGTATTTTTATCTTAAATTACACTTAATAATTTCAATAAAATGAATAGATACTGACATATAAAACAAAATATTTAAAAAGACCTAAGATCAACTGAACATTTTGCCTATGAATTCAGAGACAAGGTACTGAGAAGGCAAGCAGGAACAATTATGTCATATATTTTTGTGTAAAATTTAAAATAAACATTGGGATTTTGTTATAGTTGTAGAAATAGATATTCCATGAGCATGAGTGAAGCTATTTTTCAACTGAAATTGTAGGATTGATGTATTTTATTTAAATATACAACTGATATTTTTGCCTTGCAATACCTGCATAATCACTGGCAAGACTAAATCTATTGCAACCAGGAAAACGCAACAAGAGCTATCAACAGAGTATCAGATAAGGGACAGTAAATGCACCCTGATCAACCATGGAGCTCATTCTATTAACCTTACACGTGCACAGGGCCACCGCTATGAGTGACTAGAGGAGTATTTGGTTACTTAGATTTTTCAGAAGACAAAATAATTTCCTTTTTTCATCTTGTTTCCCCTAAAGCAAAATCTTTCTACCATTTCTCTCTTTGCACAAGTTTCCCCAGAGTTGATTTTCTGGAAAAATTAATTAGATAAAATCAATTTTTCATAAGATACTGAGGTCTATCACAAATAATATACAAAACTTTAGGTATATTAGTTGAAGATTTCCAAACTTCACTTTTGATTATACATAAGATTTAAAGACAATAAAGTTCAATTCACATTGTAATCACAGATCATTAAATATCATGGAATTTTTTAGAAAGAAACTTTTTCTCCATGATAAATTAATATATATAAGGAACTAGGAAATGCTGACATCAGTCAAGGAAAATATCACATGGAAATGAGAGCATGATAGGCATAAAACCACTCGATATGTCTCCTTATTCCCAAATTTACCCCCCAGTTTCATAGTCCAAATTATTAACCTCAGTTTTCAAAAGGCTTCTTAAAATGATAGGATTTTTTGCTGACTTAATTTATAATATTTAAGGATCATCTGGGATGGTACATTCTGTGTAATGAAAATTGTGGCATCCACAAAATCCATTTTGAGATTGGAGAGAAAATAGAGTTATGATATATAAATTCAGCCATCCTTCCTTTCTTACCATATTTCACCCTAAGAAATGTTTTTAAGACTCAACAGTAAACAGCACTATATTTAAGCCTATGGACAGGAATCTTCCCCATTCTTGGTTACACTGTGAAGCAAAAGAATTCCTGGTTTTCTCTTGCACAGCTGACTTGTACCATTCTGGTGTTCAATGGAGTTAAGGAGCTTTAGAAAACAACAACAAAAAGAATCAATAATAAAGTAGCTCTGTGTAGGTATTTTAGGAATAGGGAAGAATCATAAGCTGTGGTCATTACCCTTAAAGAGCTCATAATCTATATAAATAAATCTAGAAATAATTCAAATATTCTAAAAATAAAACTTAACATTAAAAAATACTACCCTACATACACAGTAGTATGACATATGCCTTTTTCTTTTTCTTTTTTAGAGACAAAGTCTCACTATGTTGCTTTGGGTAGAGTGCTGTGGCGTCACAGCTCACAGCAACCTCCAACTCCTGGGCTTAGGTGATTCTCTTGCCTCAGCCTCCCGAGTAGCTGGGACTACAGGTGCTTACCACAACGCCTGGCTATTTTTTTGTTGCAGTTCGGCAACAAAAGTTTGAACCCACCATACTCAGTATATGGGGCTGGCTCCCCACTCACAGGCGCCACCTGAAATATGCCTTTTTCTTAACAGAATTTCAGAAATTCAAGTACACATATGTATATAAAAGATATGACAAACTGCAAAAAAAAAAAAAAAAAGAGGGAGAGAGAGAAAGAAATAAAGACTACTTAAAAATAGGGGATACTTTTGGTCTAGAAAATGAAGAAATTGGTTACATAAAAATTTTGGAAGAAGCTTTATAGAATAGGCTGGATTTAAGCTGTGCCTTGATAAATAAGTAGAAGTTAGAGAAGAAACCATCAAAAAAAAATGATGGAAGAGGTTAAATCAATAAAAATAGCTATCATGATCATTATTATAATAATTACCATTATATAATGTCACTATGATCTTCATAATAAAATCATTAAAACAAAAGTTTTCTTGAGTTTACTTAAAATTTTGTACTAAGGGTTTCATATTGATTGTCTTATTTATTCATCATGAAATCCTCCTAAGTTCTATTTTGTCTTTATTTTTAAAGGGGGAAACGGGGTTGGAGTTAAGCACTTCTCCTAAGGACCACAGTCAAGCACTGTTAGAGATGAAAGTCCTATCTCCAAAGGGCAGCCTTTCAAATATCACAATTTAATCCCTGCTTAAAGAAAATATTGAAAGGTGGAAACATCATGATGGATGTTTAGAACATCCCCAGTATGGGTAAGCATATGGGTAATATTAGAAAATAAATTTCAATTTTAAAAGGACTATTAGGAGATTTCAGACCAAGAGCAACATCCAAATGGGTGACCCTAGAGAATCCCTGGGTAGATTGAATGGCCCAGTAATTAACAGGAAGGTGCTGAAATCTGCTTTGCTGTTTCCTGAGTGGGCCCAGGAAGCTCTACAGTGTAGGATACACACAGTAAGAGTTTTACCTCAAGCGCATGATGCTGAAAGGTCCGTTTTCTTATTTGTTATTTTATTTCATATTAATTGGAAAGATGGTACGTAACGTTCCCTAAGTTCATTTCTTTGCATTACTAGTTAACTTTTATATGTAGGTTAGACAATGAATTTCATGAACTCATCCTAGAAAAAGCATGCTGCATACCTCATCACTAAATATCACTACCATCACCAGAGGACCAGTGGAAATACTTCAAAGGTGGACTGGGTTATCCAAAGTGATATTCAGCAATGAAGGTTGTATCACTTTTTCTAGGATGAGTTTGCGAACTTTATTGTCAGGCCTCACAGGATGACAGCTCCGATGGTTGTTTCAGAAAAAGAGTTCACAACTTTCAAGGGGGCACTGGATGCTGGTATCAGAGCATTGCTTCACAGGGAGAGTGCTTTGAAGGTGGCCTTAGTAACATTCGGCCGTGAGGCATGTAACACTTTGGGCAGGATGAGATTGTGAACTTGACTGTTCCACCTCTTATTACAGATCTTTTAATAGGCATCTAATGACTGTAATTTAATGGATTGAATATAATGGAACAGTATATTTTAAGATAAATAGGAACTCTGACAAATATAAGCACTGTACATTTAGCTTTAAAGATAGATTCAGTATAATTAGCTCTAAATAGCTGATAATACAATTCAAGTAAGGGTGAAAAGAAATACAGCTGGGAGCAGTGGCTCAGGCCTGTAACTCTAACATTCTGGGAGGCTGAGGCAGAAGAATCTCCTGAGCTCAGGAGTTCCAGTCCAGCCTGAGTGAGAGTGAGACCCCATCTCTATTAAAAATAGAAAACTTAGCCAAGAATCAAGCTGGCTTCTGTAGGTCCAGCTCCCTGGGAGGCTGAGGCAAAAGGATCACTTTGAGGTTACTATGAGGTATGCCAAAGCACTTCATCCAGGCTGGGAGAGGAGGACTCCACTCAAAAAACAAAAACCAAACAAACAAAAAAAATTCTTCTTGCTTCTGAAGCGTCTAAAAGTTCTGGTCAGTGTTTTTGTTTATTCATCGCATTTGTATGTTTCCCAAGTGCTATGTTAGCGCTCACTGATACTTGGATAGTACCCTTAGATCAGATTTATTCTTATTTTACAGATACAAAATAAGTTTCAATTACTCAAAGACACATAGCTGGTAATTGGGAATATGTAATAGAAACTTGATAATTATCCCATCATGCCAGACTTCTCTCTTCCTACATGTTGACTGTCTCAAGTCAAGACAACCAGGCAGATGGAATAAGACTTGGACATTAAATTTTTCAGAAATAAATATTTGGACCAAATTTTGAGTGAAAGCATAATTATATTTAGTGACATTTAAAAGAAGAGATAAAAGAATCACCTGTTGATGATTGTGTAATTAGAAACTTAGAAAATGTAAGAGGAATTTTGTGTTAAAAAAAAGTTATTGCTCTATTGATTTTATTCTTTCTGTATTTTAGCATTATACACATGAGAAGGAAATATGAAAATATGTTTCATTTTTCATGGAGACAAAACCATAAATCTTAAGAGGCATTGGATGTGTGTAAAGAGTCCTGTGTGCCTCTACTTGAGGGTCAAAAAGTGGTGTCTGACTAAATGGAAATCCATTCCATATTCTCAGGTTTTTAGTTAAACATATCTTATACAAAATTAAAAAGTAAAGGGTGATTCCTCCAAAAATATACACTTAAAATGATTCACACACACACTCACAGTGAATTAATTATTTACATCTGGACAATAAATTGTGTCAAGAAAGTAAGAATACAGGTTGACAACAATGGGAATCCAGATGCTATGGAAAGATAATCATATTGGACTATATTTAAATTTAAAACTTTTTCAGGATGAAAAATGCGATCAATAATGTAGCAAGAAAATATTTTCACTCTAGGTGACAAAGGATTTATGTTTATACTACAAAGACTTGCAAATGACAAGGAAAAGGAAAAAAGTGAAAAATGATAGAAGGTTATGCACAGACAATTCACAGAAGAGCAAATACAGACGCCAAAAGTATATAAAATGATACTCAAAGTTGCAAGCAGCCTAGAATATGGGAATTAAAACAGTAAGGTATTGTTTTATGCCACGTGAGTCTGGAGACATAAACAAAAGCTATAACATCTGTTTTCAGCAGTACAGAATGAAAGGTACTCTGATTTACTCATACTGGAATTATGAAATGTTACATATTTTAAAAGCAATTCTGAAAACCTCTTTAAATTTTCCAATGCACAAAAAACACACACAAACAGACATTTCCTTTCAACAAAAATTCAATAGTTCTTGTCCTCAGAATCCATTCAATGAACTTACAATTACTGCAGTTCAGAAAAAAAAAATGTCAAAACAAAGAGCACGCCTAGTAAGTGAAAAAATGTTACTTTTCTGTGCCATGTACTTACTTAAAGCAATTTAAAGGAGGGAATTAGAGCTAACCAGCTCACCACTGCAGGTAAGTATCACTGAGTAATTAAAACATAAAAAATAATATTTAGTATGATCTTATTTTAATACAAAACATGGTAACATTAAAAAACCTAAAATGGGGCAGTGCCTGTGTCTCAAAGGAGTAGGGCACTTAACCCACATGCCAGAGGTGGTGGGTTCAAGCCCAGCTCCAGGCAAAAACTGCAAAAAAAACCCCTAAAATGTGTCTATTTGAATATTATTTATGTATAATGTCCTGACATGTATGTGTGCTGGATGTTAGGAACATGGCACTGAGGAAAAATACTCTATTATCAACATAGAGAAGAGAAAGAGTGCACAAAAAACATTTATATGGGATTATATTGGTTGCAATTTGTAAAAAGTGAACAGATATATAATTATATATTTGGATATATAATTTTTCTGAGCATAGCAAATGCAGTTTATAAGTATACTGTACTGTGTGTATGAACGCATGCAATTTGTTGGATGGATTATGTGTAATATGTGGATATCACTCACATACTGTATTATGTTAAAATAATTTTTTAAAAAAACTGTAACATTGTAATTTTAATATAATATTATACTATGCTCTGCCTGAAATTTTCTTCTCTTACTAACATTATATTCTATGACTATCACTTTTTAATGCCTGTGGTTAAATAACTGAATTTCAAAAAATCTAATTAGTATCATTTTGACTATAGCTCATTTTAAAAGCTAAAATATATTTGATAGCATTTTTTTGATGATCAGAAAAGAAATATTTCATATTTGAGTGTCTGTGCTATTTTCTACTGACTATATAGATGAAGAAATTTATATTCACCTTCTAACTATTTTCCCCTTTTTCTTTCTAACCCAAACTAGAAAAACCAAATAAGCAAAAATTGGGTGTATGTTTTAACATAAAATTTGACATATTTGAAATATTGGTACTCTTATTATAAATGATGTTATTATATCTTGTTAAACTCTCTCAAACTGAATTTTAAACATAATTTCTCTGGATATTTGAAAATGTAATGATTTTTCAATTAGTAAAAAGTTTAAATGGAGTATACTTATGCATAGCAAAAATTAACCAAGTGATCTTTGATACGGTGTCATTAGTACAGTAAGTACTAAGACTAGGTCCAGTAAGAAACTGTTAAAAAACCTACTGTTTTGTTCGAATCATCTGAACATAAATACAAAGAGTTTAACATTGCATTCACATAAATTT